ATTTGCTGAATAAACAGAATGAATGTACTTACAAGGCGAATTCAAACAAACACGTTGCTTGGCCTAAGATAATCTGGTATGAGTGAGCTCATGCTGTTGCTCACCGATCCCGGCTTCTCTTTCTAGCTATTTACTCATCAGTTGATCATGTCCCAACAGATAATTACATTCATGGTTCTAGAATAATTTAGAGTATCTTTTCATAAGCTTCTCATCATGTCTTCTTTATGTTTCTACAAATGCATTGTGCTTCAACTTTTTGGGGCCAAAAATTGACTATTGCTCTAGTTCCTCTCTGTTGTCAGTATATTCATTAATACAATATCATTAATCTTTCCCTTGGTGTATTTCCTCTTACTGTGGCTACAAACTCAACACATTTTATTTGTGCTACACTTAGCATTTTTGAATGTTTTAATAAGCTCAATCAGGAATAGAAAAGAATAAATTATAACTGATACCATGGAAATACAAAATAGCATCTCTGAATACTATAAAAATCTCTGTGTATATAAACTCAAAAACGTGGGGCAAATGGACAAATTCTTAGAAACACACAGCCTCCCTAGGCTCAATCAGGAAGAAATGGAATTCCTGAACAGACCAACATCAAGTACCGAAATTGAAGCAGCAATGAAAAACCTTCCTAAAGAAAAAAGTCCCAGACCAGATAGTTTCATACCCAAATTTTACCAGACCTACAAAGAACTGGTGCCCATCATGCATAAATTATTCCACAACATTGAGAAGGAAGGAATCCTCCTCAACACATTTTACGAAGCCAACATCACCCTGATACCAAAAGCCAGGAAAGGAGTCAACAAAAAAGGAAAACTACAGACCAATATCCCTTATGAATATAGATGCAAAAATTCTCAATAAAATCCTAGCAAATCGAATTCAGTTGCTCATCAAAAAAAATAATCCACCACGACCAAGTGGGCTTCATCCCAGAGATGCAGGGATGGTTCAACATACGCAAATCTGTAAATGAATGTTTTAGGTTTTCTTAATAGTCATTCATTCTGTCTTTAGGCCAAAGCACTTAACTTGGATCCATTCTACTTTTTTCTACGTTCTCTTGACATAAATCTCTTTTGATTAATATTTTTATATGCTAAATTTCAATATAAATGTTATTCCAAAAACTACAAGAGAAATGATCTATGAAACTCAGTGAATCCTGTCACCTTCCAGGGGTGAGCGTGATCCATCCCTAGTACTAACGAGACCATCTTTAAATTCTTTACCTTTAGGACATGCTTTACTGTTGTTGAGTCATTTGATTTCAAAAGACCAGTCACATTCTTCGCCAGTTCCTCATGTATAGTTCTCTCCTTGCATGTCCTGGTCTTGAACACGAACTGAAGAAATCCAAAAAGTAAATAAGGTGAAATACTTTAAAAAACAAAGCTTCAAAAATTATGTCACGTGAATAACCCATATCTCCGAATTATCTTCTCATGCCAGATTTTGTCATGAAATAAATGAAGGCCCAATGATAAGAGCAGTAGTACACACCTGGTCCTATTCAGGGCTTTGCATAGGCAGGGCCTTGCTCACCTAAGCTCTCCTTGAAACTCTTTTTGTAGAAATCAAGAGAAAGAGCCAGAGAGCCATTTAGCAGGTTCAAGGAAACGTGGAGGGCTTTGACCCACCTACTTAGGACACATTCCCCTTCTCCTTCCTTCCACTGGTAACAGGTGGCATGGTAGCAATTCTTCATCCTGAAAGGGTAGAGCACCCACTCAAATAGCCAAGTGGGGAAGCAGGAGCCTTCCAGAGGCCAGTAGGTGAGCTCCCCACAAGCCCAGGGTCTACCATCCCATGCTTAGACACATCTATCAAGGGGTTCATGAACATTGGCTGTCAGTAAGATAACAAATGCTGCTTACTTTTTATTTCGCAAAAGACTGGTTTTGGCATGCACTGCTGAGTGCATATAATGGCTAGTTTTCAGTATTTCTTCATATCTTTTAAGAATATCAATATCAATTTATACATATACATATATTTCAAATCTAAAATGCTTATTACTGAACTGTAACATTTTACTTATGTGTTGGGTTTGCCTCAAGGAAGAGCATTTCTTCATATGATTTATAATTCAGACTTCACCGTAACTGAGGTGAAGGCAGGCAAGAGATTGGCTCAAAACAGAGGCATATTCGCTTTTAGGTCTATAGATTATAGGTTCTAACCATTTCTTTGAAGTTTGTAGCACATTGGCACCTAAGTTGTCTTGGTGGGACCTGACTTCTCCAAGCTCATCCCAAAGAAGAAAGATGAAGCTAATATATGCATGAAGGTAGATAAAATCAAGATAAATCCCTCTCATGGATTATATGTCAGATGAGGGTCATGTTATCACCAACTATCTCACCCCATGCACAGTTATTTATCCTGAATGCCATTTTAACTAGCATTGAAATATTCTTATTTTTTAAATTTTGACCAGAACCTATCAGTGCAACAAATCACTATACACCATGGCATTTAATTAAATTGACTTCAGGCATACATCTTTAAAAAAGACATGGCATATGTGTGCATTTTGGATAGTGTAGATGGAGTGAGTTAGCAGCATTTAGCACCATTGAACTTGAAATGGTGTTTAGTTTACTTCTGAATAAATATAAATTACATGGAAAATCACATCTTTCAAGAACATCCAATCACGTACTGGTACCAGCCCATCAGCTTTCACCATACTCCTAGGTGTGGGGCTTAATCTCTGTATGTTAAAAAATTAATTTTCCCACATAGGGTAAAAAATAAAATCAGACTATTTGGTCAAGGCCATGTTGTCAACCATGCATTGTATAACAAGGGTCCAATTACAGAATCATAGAGCTGAATGTTCATTTGGTCGATTGTGTCTCACATTACAGAGGAGAAAACTGAGGTTCAGAGAGACTGCCTCAAGTTAAGTATTTAACTTTGCCTAGAATCTACTCTCTTACTTGCTAATTTTAGTGCTCTTTCCAGAGTAAAACACAAGTTGATTATATTTATTAAAAGGTATTTGTTTTAGATATTTAAAAATGTATTCTAAAATACCTTAAGAAATTGTTATCAGCCTGAAATTCCACATAGGTATATTTTTGGATTTGAACCACTTCAAGGCAAACTAAATAAATAATCTCCTATATGATAAAGTGAAATTGTCAGGATATTTCCGAAATCTTGGTATAGAATAAAGGTTATACCAGGATGCATTTCTAATTCATGTCTCCAAAAGCATCACAGATAAACAGTCTGAAATGTGAGGTAAGGAACTAGCCCTGGTTATCACAAAAATAGTCACAACACCAGAGGGTTCTTAATGTAATTTTCAATGATTCCACTGGGACTAGGAAAACAACCATGTTGAGATGAAGAAGCTAGTGTGCAAGATGGATAGAGAATTGTTTTTTCTTCTCAGTCCCTTTGGAGATTGAAATGGAAAATTGGTGTAAGCATTGAGGGGGTGAAACCTCCCCAGCTGATTCTGTCGCATGGTAAATCTGTCAATACCCTATAAAATTAAGCTATGACCCTATCTTAAACAGAGCAAACTAAAAAGGGATTTGTAGTGGAACTGGCTTTCTGCCATTGAAACATGGATCTTATTGGGTAAAATTATACCGTAGAGACACTACCGTGAAGCGACTGACTATTTTTGGCATACGAGCTATTTTAAGGAAGGGCATATACTCATGCTTTGATATTTGGGAAGACACCCAGCATTTTTTGCAGGTAGGAAATATATTGATATAAAACTGTGATGAAAAATATTTCCTTACAGATGGTATCTCAGAGGGGTTCACTCCAGAATGCAATTTCTAGTTACTTCCTTTCACAGGAGCACTGATTTTTGTTTTTTTCAAAAACAAGTTTCTAGCACAAAAGACTCAAATTCTTCTCTAGTTACCTTTCTAGACATCTAGAATATATGAGTATATGTCTATCCATATATATAAACAGAATATGTTCTTTTTATTAAAAATGTATGTCTCAAAAAGATTTAATCTATGCATAGAAAAAACAGAGATTTACGTCTTCTATGTATTATAAAGTAATTTAAGGTACTCTTATGTATGTCTGGGTGAGTTCTTTCTTTTCATCCAGAGGATAACATTTAGGTTGGAACTATGAAAGTGCAAACATCATCACAAGTTCACTGGCATTAATCCACAGGCCAAGTGGAAATGAGAATATAAACGTCTCCGAGTGCACACTAGACACAGGACACTCGAGGAAGCAGTGCATACGGTGGAATGGGCAAGTGGTTCATGCCAGAAGATAAAGGACTTAACATACCAGAAGCAGGTACAAATATACAGTAACTGGGAAAATGAAATAATGCCTGAGAAGACAATAAAAACAGCTAAGAAAACATTAAAGAAGAAACACAGAGCATTCAACAAACCAATAGGAAAGTCTTCCTTCAATTAACCCAGGAATTTCATTTATTTGTAATGTTGACTTCGAAAGGATATTTTTGTTTCCTCCTTTATCCTTTTCTTTCTTCACTCTCCCCATATAGATATTTATTTGCACATGACACATTATGTATACATTTAAAAAATTCATCTAGCCCATTAATGCAAAGAGACAGAATTCTAAGTAACTCAGGGGAATTCCTGATATTACTGTGGTGGGCACGGTCCAGCTAATGGGAGAAAACTTCCCACTTATTGCAGACAGAAAATGAGACAAGCCACACAGCACAGGAGATATGACCAAAATCCAAGGGGTGATTTCATACCTTAATGTATGACTGGACAGAGTGGTCTAGCTGCTCCTCGTGGCACTTGGCCACGATGTCGGCCAGAACCCTGGAAAAGCAAAGCTGTTCAGTGGCATTTCTGGAGAAGGCAGGAAAATCCCACTTTCATATGTCATTGGAGGGCTTGATAAAATGGTATTTAATAGTTACTGAATAAATGAATTAACGGCTTTCAGCCTTCTTTTTCCCCCTTCTCACACCCCAATACTAGGCATTTAGTATCTATCATATCTGTTAGCCATTTCCAACCTTGAAACTTCTAAATATCAACATATAAGTAATGTCTTATGGCTGCAATATCACACTGGAGACCTTTTTTCCAAGTTGAATGTGCTAATTATGGTCTGTGCATTTGCTGATATTGTCTTTTTGGAAAAGGGATCATTTTTAGTACCTAATTAAAACTTAAGACTTTTAGCCTCTAATTAGTAATCATATTCCATTTTAAAAGGGTTTGCTTTCCAATCTATAGGCATTGTATACAGTTTTGGAAAAAACAATTAGGTTAAGATGAAGTTGTTTTGTTTTGTTTTGCTTTTCCCTTAGCTGGGTTAGGGTTTCTAGTAGCAATGGTGGTGTGGGCTCATTTTTTTCACATTAATATTACCAGTTGTTCCATGGCTATGGTGCTTAGGAATACCTCAGAATTTCAACAGATCTATCAGCTGCACTATTTAGGAGTCTTGCCAACACAGGCACATATATTCATGCTGAAAAGAACATCAGTTGAGGGCACAGCTGGGGACTTTTAGTCTGGGTCCAGAACTGG